TGCATGAAAGAATAAGTAAAATACTTTGAATAGCAAGCATAACAATGATTCATCCCACCAAGATTTTTTTTCTTTTTTTTAATATTTATTTTTTAGTTTTTGGCGGACACAACATCTTTGTTTGTATGTGGTGCTGAGGATCGAACCTGGGCGGCACGCATGCCAGGCAAGCACGCTACCGCTTGAGCCATATCCCCAGCCCCCACCAAGATTTAAAATGTGAAACAATGCCATAACTGTCCTAAAAGTTTGTCAAGGAATAAGGAATGAAATCATGTGACAAATCCAGAAATAAATCCATATCCAGGTTCTGAAAAAAGTGGTATCTTAAATCTCTGAAGAACTAGGATTATCCAGTAAACTTCACTGAAACAACAGTTTCCTTTTGAGAAAATAATTTAAATACCTATTTCATGTCACACTCTAAAATGACTATTAAAAGTGAAGCCACAAATACTGTGCAGAGATACATGTCATAAAAGTATACACAGATATTTATGGGAATGTTACACATTTATGGTAGGGGTTAGGACCACCAAGAAACAGGATTGCAAACAACAAAAGTACACAAATGGACTTCAACTACAATGTAAAGTTTCATTTTGTAAATGGATGGTAAGAATGTTGTTACTCATTGTTCTGCTTTTTAATTTTTTTTTTACCTTTTTGTGCAAGGTGAATATATCATAGTAACGTAAATAGGTTGAATGTTACATATCTATTTCACAACAAGATATTTAAAATATCTTTAAAATATTTATTTTTTAGGGTTTTTTTAGATGGACACAATATATTTTTATTTTTATGTGGTGTTGAGGATGGAACCCAGCCCGGTGCATGCCAGGCAAACACGCTACCTCTTGAGCCACATCCCCAGCCCCACGATAAGTTATTTTAAAACAAAAATTAAAGTATTATAAGATTGTATAGGTACTTATTCAAATTGTTCTGGGGCAGGGAACTTTTTCCCAGCCAAAGCTTCAAAGGCAGAAAACCGTAAATATATATATATATTTTAACTCGMGATCCTCTTGTCTCAGACTCCCGAGCCACTCGGATTACAGGTGTGCTTACTATTTTAATGTTAGTATTAAACTACTAATATTTTAAGGATACTTCTACAGTAAAAATAAGGAAGGCATAAACAGACAATGCATGGCAAAAATAAATGTAATAGACCATTATACATATGAAAAAATTAAAACCACATTAAAAGTTAAATGAAGACAACATAGGGACAATATGTACTTTTTTATCTGTTATATTAGCAAAATAACAATCCAATTTGGTAATAATCTGGGACAAAGAAAATTTCAGAAGCATTTTAATTTTCATTTCTCAAACTTTTACAAGGGGAACTTGGAGATTAAAATACAGACTTCACTGTGAGTTTCCACTTCTACAAATGCAATCTGGAGAGATAATAATGAATGCTCACAGTTACTTTGTTGATGGGGGAAAAAAAAAAAACCCAAACCCCGGAAAATGTTATGACTTCATAATCAAAACAGTGAACTGCTGAAACCAACTACAAAACACTCAGACAAGTCTTTTAACATGTTGTTGAAAAATATTTAATGTCATGAAACGTTTATAATTTGTTTAATCATAGAAGGCAAAACAAGGCAGCATGTACAGTATTTGAAAAAGAAAACGTACGTGTATGCAAAAGTGTTATGCGCGCGCGCGCGCGCGCGCGCACACACACACACACACACACACCCCTATATATAGATAGATGATAGAGTTATAGATGTATAGAAAGAGAAAGATAGTTTTGGAAGTGGCAGGAGTAGGTTTACAAAATCCGAAAAGTCCCACTGGGAGAAAAACTGAACCTCTATTTCAGAAATGCAATGGGTAAAATCGGGGATTTCGTAGACCTTGAAGGTGTCACTCGGGTCCCAAGGCACATCATTCCTCAAATTCTCTCTTTTGCTGTAAGGTCTAGGAAATTTCACAAGAACGTGGAACCCGGATCGAGGCTTCTTTTTCCAAAAGATAATAAGCACCAACAAGCAAACGTCCAGCCATCTCAGTACCTGAGCAGCACCTAGGTGGCTGCGCGATGCCAGTACCGAGGGCGAAAGGATAAGCCCGCCCCTTAGGACTCAGCTTAGGTCACAAGCCGCAGCGCCTGCGGCAGGTGACTCAACCTCTCCAGAAGTCCCCGCGCTCAGGGGACTGGCAGCCCACCAGCTAGTGCTTCAGGGACACGCCTCACAGAATGGCCGCACGCCTGAAGTGTCTAGCGCATCCTCCTAGAGCGCCGAAGCTGCGCCTGGGCGCGGTGGTGGCCGGTAGGGGCTCAGAGACAGCTGCTGTGAGCTACCGCCCCAGAATACAAGGAGCCCGAAGGACCTGGCTCTTCGCTCGCCAGGCCCCGCCGCTCACGTTTTAGAGATAATGAAAAACATTAAAGCCTACAACCTTTCCCCGAATTTAGTGACATCAGATTGGCGTATCATCCCTAAAGCAAAGGGGGACAGATTATCATGTCCCTGAACGCTTCCTTTCTGTTTCCCCAAACCTAGCCCAGCTAAGGGTAATGGGAGCAGCTCGAACTGGGAAGTCCAGCTAGATATTTTCTTTAAGGACCCTTGTGCACATTGGGAACTAGTAAAGGTTAGTGTTATTAGTAGGTACGCCAGGACAGTTGCTCTGTCCAGTGCTCCGTGTATAAACAAGAGAATGCTGTTGATGTCACTGCTCTGCAGCATAAGATATAAAACCGCTATCTGAAAGGAGACTGGCTCAGAGCTGAAAGCACTGTGGAAAGGATGCTCGTCAGGATTCCAGCCCTTGGCCAATGGATCGACCAAACACCGTGAGGGGGAGGAGGGTGCTGTTTGGCTATGCACCTTGAGGGCTAGAGGTGCTACTGGTTCAGCACGTCGCCACTATACTTTTCTTGGAGCAATCACATATACACAGGGAAGTTTTCTCCAGTAAATCATGTCTTCCATGCTATCTCCAGGCATTTGCTGTGGCTTTTCCTGAAATCTACCCCCACTGCAGTGGCACAATTGGGCTGTGGACTTGTCAGCTGCCTTGCAGTTTTTATAGAATTTCCCCAATGATTTTTGTTGGGTTTCCCTGATAAACATCTTTATTTAAAAAAAAAAAGTTGCATAATAGTTGAGTGTGTAATAGTTTTTAAGTGCTGAAAAGCTGTAGTTTTGAACAAAAGCAAATGTGCTTAAAATTATGCAGTTGGAATCAGTGTGGCTTTGTTTCTCAATTAATTTAGATTTGTGGAACTAATCTTAGATTTCTGTTTTTGTTTCAGAGGACATAAGAGCTATTGCCTTTAACATTTAATTTCAGATTTCTTATAGCTTTTATTTGAGAGAGAGAGAGAGAGAGAGAATTTTTTAATATTTATTTTTTAGCTTTCGGCGGACACAACATCTCTGTGGCAGACGGCTGCCACGTGTCAGGAGAGCGCGCTACCCCTTGAGCCACATCCCCAGCCCTCTTATAGCTTTTATTGTGTCTGTTACAATGTATAAGATAGGCAGGATCACCTAACTTGCTTTTTTTCTTTTGATGATTGCAATACTTTTTCCTATTTTCAAAGGAATTTGTTATTCATGAGATTGGAAAATCTGTACTTCTCTTGTTTATATCATAATATCTAAATTTGACAGGCGGTCTGTATTGGGGAAGAGAACTTACAAATCTTTTTCTTGTAGTCTATGTTTTTGTTACTTTCTTTAAAAATATTTTTAGTTATAGATGAACATAATACCTTTGTTTACTTTTTATGTGGTGCTGAGGATTGAACTCCTTGCCTCACACATGCTAGGCAAGTGCTCTGCCACTGAGCCACAATCCCAGCCTGTTTTTATTACTTTTCATGTTTATTTGTACATAACATTGTATTTTTAAAGATAATATGCAATGACTAATTCTGTTAAAAGTAATACATACATAATTTGGTCCCTTTGGTGGTCTCTAGGGATATCAAATTTTATCCAAATTTGGTAGTGGCTAGAAGAGTCAAAACTCTAGACACACAGATGGTTGGTATCAGGAGGTGAGCAGCAAGAAGGCAATAAGGAGGTACAGAAGACATGAAAATGGGCACTATTTTTTTTTTGGTGTGGGGGGTACTAGGTATTGAACTCAGGGGCACTTACCCACTGAACCATATCCCTAGCCCTATTTTGTATTTTATTTAGAGACAGGGTCTTACTGAGATGCTCAGCGCCTCAATTTTGCTGAGGCTGGCTTTGAACTCACAATCCTCCTGTCTCAGCCTCCCAAGCTACCCGGATTACAGGGTTGCACTACCGCGCCCAGCAGCACTGTGTTTTAATGCCATTCTGATTCCCATCTGTGTTTACCATCTTTATATTTAAGATGTGTCCACATTGCCTTGATCTCTTATTCCTTCTAACTTTTACATACTAACATATTATATATATTTTATTCACTGATTCACTCAGTGATGGGCACATGTACTGCCTCCAACAAAGGTAAACAATACTTTATATCTCACTCCAACCCTAACCAAGTCTGACTCTTCAAGGAATATTCAACATATGGTTACCAATCAGCAATTAACAAGTATTTAATAAATACTTCTGGAACTGATTTACAGAGGACTGAGACATCAGGCAGTGTGTTTATTTGACTCTAGGTCAATTTGCCAAAAATTAATTTCCAGAAAGTCACTTCTAGAATAAAAATATTTGTCAAAATTCAAATTGCCAAAATTCTCTAAATTAYCAATTTGATACGATCAGTTGAAAAGTACAAGCTCTATTTACATCTCAGCCTTCTGTGAGGCAAGCCCAGGAGCAGGGGCAGACCATAAGTATACTAAACTGAAGATGAACTGAAAAACAACTAAGAAAAACTTCACTATCAGTATGTCAAGTGGCGGGGGTAGACACTGATCTAAAGCTTTGAAGAAATCAAAATCTATTTGCAAACTAGCTTTTAGCTGCTAGTAACAAGAAACAAAATTAAAAGAAATTTAAATAAAACTGGTTTTATTTCATAATAAGATATCTACAGATAGTCAGAGGATGGTACTGGATCAGCAGACCAACATGATGAGCACTGGTATCTCTTTGGTTCCCATGATCTTTCCTTTCTCATTTGAAAGGACCATTCCAGCTTCTTCCATAACTTCAGTATTTGTTTCAAAAATAGGGAAAAAGATGGCTTAGCCACTTTTATCACTTCTATTTGAGAAGCAAATCTTTCMCAGAAATCCTGTAAATGTGTCCCAAGGCTACCTGTAGCTGCAACAGAGGCTGCGAAGGTGAGCAGTTAAGCTTTCCCAACTTCTTTATTGATAGCAGGTAAAGGAAAAGGGGATGTTGGGAAGGGCTGACAAGTTGGGCTACCAACATTATATAAGTAATTTCTTTTTCAAAATCGGTAGTTTTTATGTCAAGAAATTTCTGTTGATAATTTAAAGATTAAAAATTGAAATGCAGGTTCTTTAAATCATGACATTTTCATCAACTACACTTCTTTTTCTTGCTTTATTTTTACCCTAACATGCAAGTGCTCCAACACAAAGCTACACCCCCAGCCCTTTTTTAGTTTTTAGCTTGGAACTTGTGATCGTCCTGCCTCAGCTTCCTTAGTCACTGAGAATATAGGTGTGTGCCACTGCACTCAATTTTAAAACTACTTCATCTCTCAAGAAACAGTGGGAAAAAACAAAAAGTCAACAGTGACAAAATACAAAATACTCTTCTCCTTAGTTACTGTCCTTCTACACCAAAAAACATCTGGAAAACATCCCCACATCCGTTGGCATTTAAGAACTGATACAGCTGACCAAAATCCATGTGGTTTCCTCTGGCTCCATTAACACTGAATACTTTTTCTTCAAAAATGGAAAATCTCCTTTGTCTTTCCATTTCATCATTTGTACCATCAAAAGGAATGTCTTCTCTATGGCGAATTAAGATTCTCTTCCAGTTTAATTTTCTGAGTCTGAAAAGAAATTTTCAAAGTGGAAATTTTTAAAATTGTGTTGAATATTCTACAGCATTATAACAGAAGTTATAAAACAGTTTTAGCAAATGTCCTATCTTATAAGCAAAGATATCTTTTTTTTTCTTAAGTTTACTTTTATCTCATTGGTGTTTATTTTAATCAGCTATGATTTTGGTTGTGATCCTAACCAAAACCTCTTATACTGCTGTTATTGATGTGATATATAGACTATGTGAAAGCAAACCTTGACCAGAATTCTTCACAGGCACTTTGTGGACCTTCCACACAAACAACACCAGGTTTTCCAGGCATACTAAATCCAGACAGGGAAAGCTCCTTGGCCCACTCTAGAATATTCTTTCTTTTGCATTTGTTGTAGATGTGATGGCTGTAAATCCAAAGTCTTGTAAGAATGGGATCAACTGGCTGGACTGCACTTTCTGTGTTGGGGGAAGATGGGACATCTTTGCTGACATAGCCTGAGGCGTGTTCTCTAACCCATTCAGTGGCATTCAATATACAGACATCTCCTTGACAATTCTCCTGCAGGTATGCAGTCAGATCTGTGTTCAGCTGGGTCTGCTGGGATCTACTTAATAATACTGATCTGACAGTAATTTCAGGCAGAACTTCAGGGTACTTAAAGGGAAGAATGCAGGCCAGAGAAAATATCTCCTGAGAAGAGCAAGAAGAAAGACAAAGGAAAAGAGGGAAAAGAATGCCGTGTTACTGTAAGTCTTGGCATGTTCCAATCCTTACCAAAACAAAGTTAAATTACCATTGATTTCTCAGATATGTCTAGGTTCATATTGATGGTATAGTAAACTTTTGAAGATCGCTCCTCCATAGTCTTCTTTTCAATACAATCTTTCAGTTCTGCTAAAGCCAGTTGGTCATTCACTATGAGCTCATTCTTCCCAGGAAACATACTGGCCAGCAGGTCTAACTCAGAGAGCTGGGCCTCTGCTTGCTCTATCTCAATCATTTTTGGACATCTGTAAGTTTCTAAGGAGGTAAGAATAAGAGAGACAATTTACATATACAATCTTGAGAGAACTCAATAGATTAACATGGGTACTTACCAAAAGGTACTTGATTTTTTTCATAAAATATGAAATTTAATTGGTCTTTCCCCTCCTTATTCTACTTTCAGATGTACTATGCTTAAGACCAAAAATGTGGGGGCAATCCAGTGAGAGACATACTATTCTAATAATAACTAAATTCCTTTGTTCTTCCTATTATCTATATAGTACACCTGGTATTTTCAGCTACCACAATGACCAACTTCATTGAAGTAAATAAATTACAGTCAAAAAGCTATACCAATTATATATCCAGAAGAGAGGAAACATAAGATGAATAAATGAGTAAGAGAATTTAGTTATGTGTATGGTTAACTTCTTTTTAGAAAATAAAGAAGAGCAAGTAATGGCTAATCATCCCACAGCTCAAGTAATCCCTGTTAACATTTTTAAAGTTAGGATCAAAGGTTCAGCAACTTAGCAGTGAGACCCTGTCTCAGAGTAAAAAAATCAAAAGCATGCCTGGCACAGTGGTACATGCCTGTAATCTTAGTGGCTTGAGAGGCTGAGGCAGGAGGATCATGAGTTCAAAGCCAGCCTCAGCAATGGTGAGGCGCTAACCAACTCAGTAAGACCTTGTCTCTAAATAAAATATAAAATAGGGCTGGAGATGTGGCTCAGTGGGTAAGTGCCTCCTCTTCTTTCGTAAGTCTACACCATAGCAGCGTATTGATGTTTCATATCAGAAAACTAAAGATGTTAATTAAATCATTGCATAGAATAATAATCAGAAATGACTCTAATGTTCAACAATAGGACACTTATTTAATAAATATACATGCAAACAAGAAAATATTATGAGGTCATTAAAAATGTCTATCGTCATTGATGTTCATGACATACGGTTACCTGAAAAAAAGTAGCTAGAACAATGCGTGTATATATATCTATATCTATATAGATCCCACAGTATTCACATATATATTTTATATATATTATTATATAGAGTCACATATTATGTGTGTGTGTGTGTGCATATATATATATATATATTTTTTTTCTCCTTTCATTGCTAGGGATCCAACCCAGGGCCTCATGCTATATTATTTTTTCATGATTGTATATGCATAGAAAAGAGTTAGAAATGAATTCACCAATTAGTGTTGGTTGAAAGGGGTTGAAGGAAGAAAGAAATTTTGTCATTAGCATGTACTATCTCTAAACTGAGCAGAGAAAAAGAATGATTACTCTTTTGAAAAAACACCTCATTGCTACACAGGAAAACTTGGCTTACCTTCTTTAAAATATTTTATTTTGTGAAATTAAACATCATTATTTAAATCAGTGGTGTCTTCACATCATTCTTGTTCATCTTTGGTAAAATTTATCAAGCAGCTATTATATGTAAAGCTTTGACCTTCATGTCTTCCTGGCATTACTTAGTTTGAAGATCAGGATACACATCTAATAGGATACAAAAGTAACAACAAAAAGGTTGCATTAAATGACATAGGTATTATCATAGGAATAACATGAGCACATAATCAATGAAATGGGCCAAAAAAGGGTAAGATTTGAGGAAGAAGGCAGGATCTGAGCTGAACCTTCATGAAAGTGTAAGACACAGATAGGTGAAGAAGGCATACGGAGGAGAGCTTCTGGAAGTAAGTAATCAAGTAATCCCTGTTAACATTTTTAAAGTTAGGATCACAGGTTCAAAGCTAGTCTTTGAGGTGGGAAAGCAGCACAGCTAAGTGATGAAGGCTGTAGCCTCCCCAAGCACAAGTAAAACAGTACAGTTATCTTGGTACCCATGGGGGGTTGGTTCCAGGATGCCCTGCAGATACTATACTCTATACTCCAGGGATTCTTTTTTTTTAAATTTATATTTATTTAACAAAAAATTACATAAAAATTCCAAATTTTATTCATTAAGCTTTTGATATTTTATATAACTATTTTTGTTTTCCTTTTAAATATCTATTTACTTTTCATTTATTCCTGTTTATCAATAATTCCTTTGTCTAATAGCTTCACTCAGATATATTCAAAATATAGTTAAAAGCCACTAATTATAATGTAGGCATTGATGTTTAAATATTACATTCCAGGGATTCTCAAGTATAAAATGGTATGGCACTTCCATATAACCTACATATCCTCCTATATGCTCTAAATCATCTCTAGATAATTTATAACACTCCATACAATGTAAAGGCCATGTGAAGGGAATAATGACAAAAAATCTAAAAGAATCTGTTCATACAGGCATAACTTTTTTTCCTGGATATTCTCAATCTATAATTGGTTTCAATCTATAACTGGTTCCATGGACATGGAACCCAGAGATATGGAGGGATGACTGTACACTCCTGAACTTATGCCTTCCTCACAATCCCAACTACCAAGATCTAATTCAGGGGCTCATTGTTATGACTATTTTCTTTTTGCTTGTCCTCTAAATCCATTCTTAGTCCTTATCTCTGCACTGAACTCTAGGCAGCTGACCTCCATAGCCTGAAAGCATCTTATCCCTCTGCCTTTTGTGGTTGGGTTCAGTCTATGCGCTCACAGGACATGGGAGAATGGGAAGAGAAAGAGGCCAGGGTATTTTTTCATTCTTCCTTCTTTGCTTTGGTAGGATTCTGACCATGGTTGAAGCTCTTGAAGACCACAGTTTCTTCAGGCATTCCTTTTGTCCCTGGCTCCAGCAGGCTTTTGCACTTGGGGAGTGTAATTGATCCTTTGAACTTGGCCACACCTTTGGAAAAGGCCCCTTTATTAAAGAGTCTCTTCAAAGTGCCTATTTCCCGGGAGAATCTTGCACATTGCCTCTAATGTCTATCAACTCACACTGCACACTGTTATTACGATGATGATGATCATATGCAGTTTCTAGGCAGGGCTCCAAGGAGGCAGGCAAGAAAGCATGGACTTTTAGGAAGAGATTCACATAGTGGTTGGCTGGGCACCAGTACTGAGAACAAGGGGTGGGGCAGCTTAGAGGCCATGGAAGGCCAGCTAAACACTCTTAAATAAAAGTTACCTTGTGCAGTGAACTTATCCACTGTTCATGATAAGACTGTTTTATATATCTGGTAGCACAAAAAGGTAGCTCACTGAAAATGGATCCAATTCACAAAGGCTGCCTTGGATAAAGTATTATCAAGTTCTTTAGGAACATGTCTTTCTCTTTATTCAAGTCTACTTTATTTCCTCCAATATAGTTATATTCTGTTTTGAAAAATATTTTCTAGTTGTAGATGGACACAATATATTTATTTATTTATTTGTATGTGGTGCTGAGGATCAAACCCAGTGCCTCACGTGTGTGAGGCAGAAGCTCTACCACTGAGCTACAGCCTCAACCCCTAGTTTTATTCTTCAATACCAGGAAATGGTATTTTTTCAATGATTTAGCTAACTTGTTATATGGTACTTCTGAAGAGGGAAAAAAGTTCTACTTAAAAAAAATAAATTATAGGTATGTCCTGCCAAAAACCAATTAAGCATTATGAGAATGACTAAAAGTGAAAGGTGGCAGGGTGCTGCATTCATTAGAGTTAACTCGACATAAATCAGGAAAATACGAAGCACTCTTGTACACATTGGACTGTCTCCACAGATTAGAGTATAAATCAATGTCAACACCATATAATTCCTAATCTCAGTGAATCTTCAACTGATTTCCTTAAGACACTGATTACTACAGTGTCAATGCCATGCTGGGGGTGGGGAGGAGGGGAGAGAGGAATCACAGAAGGCTAGGTGCTAGGAGAAGCTCTTGAGATAGAGTAAACAAAACAAAGTTCAACAGGGTGTTTTAGGGTGACCTTGGGTACTGATTAGCGTGTACGCATTTTATATGTGCCTTTTCAGAATCCTTATTGTTAGATTCCAACAGTGCAATGACTTTTTAAGAGGTCAATTTAGTATGCTGTCTACCCCAAACCTATCTTACTTCAGGACATTCTTTTCCTGGCTAATTGATTTAGCTCTTTTTACCACAGAAGAGCAGAAGATGCCACCTAGTCATCCAGACTTCTGTAGTTTAAATATTACCATGATTACTCACCACCTTTAAGTCTTTTTCAAATAACCATTAGAGGCTGGGTACAGTCGCACATGCAACTGTAATCCCAGCAACTCAGAGGCTGAGGCAGGAGGATTGCAAGTTCTAGGCCAACTTCTGCACCTAGTGAGACCCTGTCTTAAAATAAAAAATAAAAAGGGCTGAAGATGTAGCCCAGTGTAAAGTGCCCCTGGGTTCAATTCCTAGTATAAAAATAAATAGAACAATTGTTATTGATACATGTGTTCTTCCATCCTTCAATCACAATGCTTTCTTTAGAAACCAGAAACTTCATATAATTTTATATCCTACTATTTTCACTTAACATAGTTTAAGCATTTGCTATTATTTAAATTTTTCTCATAACTATTTAAAATTCCCAGATTTATAATTTCATAAACATATTCTCTAGTCTTTTTTGAAGTTGAATAATGCTAGAAAACAATTCACTTGGTGATTATTAGAGAAAATGAATTTACCTTTTTTTCAAATCTTTATTTCACTTTTATGCAGTGCTGAGGATCAAATCTAGTGCCTCACATGTACTAGGCGAGCACTATACCCCTGAGCCACAACCCCAGCCCAGAATTTACCTTTAAAAAAAAAAATTGTGATAGTTTATAGTACAGACTCTTTTTTGGGGGTGGGTACCAGAGACTGAACTCAGGGGCACTCAGCCACATCACAAGCCCTATTTTGAATTTTATTTAGAGACAGAGTCTCACTGAGTTGCTTAGTGCCTTGCTTTTTGCTGAGGCTGGGTTTGAACTCACAATCCTCCTGTCTTAGCTTCCCGAGCAGCTGGGATTATAGGTGTAAACCACCACACCTGGCTAAAGTATGGACTCTTTATCAGATTTCAGTTGTACAAGTCCCAGCTTTGCCACTAACTGTGTGACTTTGGGCAAGTCATTTGATGTACCTGAGTCTCAGTTTCCCCATCTCCAAAACAGGAATGATAATGGTGCTGTGAAGATTAAGCGAATGTGTGAAAAGTGCTTAAAGGAATGACTGGTAACAGAGTAGAGTTATATGACTTCTTGCTATAATGATTATTTGTCATTCTTTCAACAAATGTTTCTCAAGCAGTTTTTATGTGTCAAACATTGTCATTGGCACTGTAACAACGAATAAAAGGAACAAAAATCTCAATTGTCATAGAGATTTAATCTAGTGAGAGGCCATGACATGAAAAAACAAATATGTATGCCCAAGGGATAACTGTTACAAAGATTGGAAATGACAACAAGGACACAGAACAGCAGGGAGACAAAAGTGTTTGTACACAGGGTTGTCAGGAAAAGTGATGGCAGGCAAGACAAAGGAATTGAAAAAGAAAGCCATGCACCTACCAAAGAGAAGGAGCATATTCAAAAGTTAGAAGGCAGGAGGGTGCCAGACTAGCTTGCTAAAGTAGAGTGAACTGGGACCAGAGGGAAAGAAGAGGAGGTTAGTGGAGACAAACTGGGAAGTTTGTGTTGGGACTTGCAGGGCCATCCAGGACTTTGGATTTTATCCTCCCTGGTACAGAAGACCACCAGAGGAGCTTAACTTATGAAGAGGCTCACACACGCTACAAGGTAGGAAGAGGTAAGCAGGAAGAGCAGATAAGCTCTGCAATAACCTGGGGAGAGATGATGGTGGTTTGAATTAGGGGAGGTGCTCAGGGAGGTGAGCAATGTACAGGGCATTGGAGAGCACCAACAGGATTTACTGATGAATTACATGAGCTACATAAGAATGACTCTGTGATTTAAGCTAATGGATGGTAAGATTTGCTATTTACTTGGATAGGGAAGATTATGGAAACTGAAGCTTGGTTTTCAACAAATCAAATAATAGGTCTATTAAGATACCTTTAAATAGAGATGTCCAACAGGCAGGTAGATATATGATTTTTATTAGAGATTTAGCTGAGGTGTAATTTTGGAAGTCAAGGCTAATTTTTTAAAAAATCTTTTTTTTTTTTTTGGTACTGAGGATTTAACTCTGGGGTGCTCAATCCTCTGGTGAGCTAAATCCTCAGCCCTTTTTAGTTTTTAAAGACAGGGGCTTGCTAAATTGCAGAGACTGGCTTCGAACTTGCAACCCTCTTGCCTCAGCCTCCTGAGTCGCTGGAATTACAGGAGTGCACCAACCACATCCAGCTACCTACACTTATTTCAAGCTATGTATTTGTTTAAAGTCAGCCAGGAGGGAGTGAAGTTTGGAGAGGATCTCATGAGTTTGGGGAAGACAAACTGAAATTAACAAACAAGCACGCGACCACCCGTGATTGGGTCAAGTAGGGGAGTGAGGTCACAGGTTAAGACATTTATTTGACAACTTATTTTCTTTGACGAGAAAACCCCCCAAGACTTCAGTAATTGCTGTTAAAATGTATAATGAAACACGAGCCTCCGGAGTGGAACCAGCTCTCCCAGCAGCTTAGCTTTTCAAAGCACAGGGTTCTGATTGCTCAAGTCGCGACGTTTCCCAGTAACTGCGCAGCGGGAAGACGCCGTCGCTCCTGATTGGGTCTTCTGAGATGCTATAGGCGGGACTAGGAAACGGCGAGGTGGGTTTGGACCAATGAGTGGACTCGCAGAGGGGGGGAAGGCGGTCTTATCACGTACTAAGTTCCAGGAAGTTGGTGTGACCTCTCAGCTGGGAAGACTCTCAGTCCCCTTTACCAGTGCCCCCGCCGAGACTCACCTAGAGCCGTGGCTCCATCGCTGCTGTAAGCCCGGATTTCCTGGCTTACATATCCCCTCGGGAGACAAAGTTCCAGGGCTGGGCGACTGAAGCTTCAGCCGGTCCTGCGGGGCGGCCTGGGAGAAATGGGACACCGCTTTCCGGAATAACGCCTACGCGCGCGAGGCTTCGAGTCCCGGAAGTAATTAACTGTCCTGACCTTTTGGTCCGGAATGCGGCCGCGTGTTTTCTCCTGTGCATTTGGAACTGCATAGTTCTTTGACCCCGCAGGTGCTTCTGTGTCGCAGTTTTCAGTCTTATATTGCCCCATCCCAACATCATTGTCATTTCCCAGTTGTTGTCACTGTCGGAGTGACCCGGGCAGCATTTAGTAGGGCCAGGATTGGTCCTTTAAAGTAAAGCTCCTCAAACGCGAACAACGTCAGGTCGGGATTAGGTAGGTGATATTGGGAGAGGAATCCCAGATTGTGCATTTCTAATCTATTCCCTTGACCCTGAACCAGAGTAGCAAGACAATAGGGAGATTCAAGAGAGGATAGATGTTGGCCGTGGCAACCTTAGGTGTTCTTTCCAGTAATCAAGGTGGGAGGAACCATATCCATCCACAGATTTGTCCCTGTTAATGGAAGGACTGTTTGAAGGAGACTCCCAACACGAGAATAGTTAGAAATGTTTTTGTCTTCCCTGTCCAACTACGTGCACTATACTTTTATGATGTTTTATAATTTTATGAATGTCAAGATTTGAAAACATTCAATTTAGACATAACTGCTAACTTTAACAACTTTTAAAAAATAAAAATGATAATACACAGGTATTCATATCTGTTTTTTTTACCTGGTGTTTTGATTGGGCATTTTTTTATGCCATTATATAATCTACTTCTAACTTTTATTATGAAAAATTTTAAGCATAAACAAAGTGGAGAGAATTTTACAGTGAAAATTTTGCAGTGCAATTCTCAAGAAAGGATTCCCCTTGTTCACTTAGCAATTCTGAAGACATTTTGGGTTATCACAGCTGGAAAGATGCTACTGGAATCTCCTATGTAAAGACAATGAAAGTTAATCAACTTCTTGCCATTTAGAGGATATTCTTTTAAAGCAAAGATAAGATTGATAAGGTTGCCAGGTGTAGTGGCACACACCTGTAATCCCAGCTGCTGGTGAGGCTGAGACAGGAGGATCCTGAGTTCAAAGCCAGCCTCAGCATACTTAAGTAACCCAACTCCTACTAAGATATAGCACATTACTACCACTTCAGAAAAGTTCCTTTTAAGCTTTTTCCTAGTCAGTTCATGCTCAACTTCCCGCAAAGGCAACCACTGTTGTGATGTTTTGTCCCAGTCTCCATGGGCAAAAGGTGCTAAGTCAAGGAGAAATAAAGAATGTGCACATGGCTCTGCCATTTTCAATGCTTTTTTCACTCAAATCATTCAATACACTTTCACTCTATAGGTTCTTAGTCAAGAAAAATGACAATCCTTAATGCTAGGCACTGCAATAGACAAAATCAATTCAGAGCAAACAATTCTAGATAAATTCACAGTGAACAATTCTAGATTAATTAATTCTAAGGACTGAAAACACACTTAATCATGGCAGACTTATGACAGACATTCCCTCTGCGTGCTAAGTTCAAGTGTTAGCTCAAAATTCTCAAGCCTTAGGTTTTTAAGTCCAGCAGATGCACACTCACTCAGACAGTGTTGATCAGGTCAGGAACCAAGACAGGCTTCTCCTTAGGTGAAGCTGACCGCCAGTCTAGGAGACGGACTTAAGGAGAAATTGAGGCTCTCACCAGGGTCAAGATGTGGCTGTAGAGTTTGAGAGCAATGAGGAAGATGCAGAAGATCAGCAAAGGATGAGAAGTGTTGGGATGTCAGTGCAAGTCCTCATCAGACTCTCAGTGTAAGGGCATCAGTTTTGGCTGGCTGAATGTCTTGTTATTAGCTCTTTTGAGGCTTTTGACGCCCCCCCCCCTTTCAGTTCTTAACAGCTGCCACTGGATTTCTCAATGACATTTGCTGTGGGATTGAAACAGCTGGTCTGGTGGTCCCCACCCTAATCTTTCCCTCTTATCGGGAACCTTTTCCTCTAAAAGGTGGAGGACAGATTGCCTGAGGCTTCACTCTGAGCCTTATCAGGGTGTCGAGAATTGACTTGTTTGTCACAGGACCTCTCCAGTAGGCATGCCTGGTGAGACTGCAGGTTTCAAACAGGAGTTCTTAAAATGGAGTGGCTTAGGCTCAAGCCCAAGGCCATGCTCATATTCCCCTACCATAATTAGTTTTGTCTGGTCTAGAACTTCAGCTAGTTCAATCATACAGTAGGTAATTTTGTGTATACTTTCAGTATCATAGAGATACATCCATGTTCTTGTGTGTATAGGTAGTTTCTTTTGGTTGTGGTTGTTTAGTAGTTTTCCAGAAACCTCCGAGATGCAAGTGGTGCAGTTGAAACAGAGCTTCTGAGTTTCCTCAGGCTGGAGAATAGAAACTAAACAACTACCTTCATGCCCAGACCTGTGACTCGGCCCAGAAACCCACAACCTGGGCCGTGCAACACGTTGATCCAACGGCATAAATTTCGTGTTTACCGTTCAGAAGGCTCCGAACCACAGACCACCACCAGTTACCCACGCTTTCAGAAAGATTTAATTTACTTCATAGATAACCCACCCAGGAAAAACTTCATCGGCGACAACTCCGCACTGCTGTGCGCCAGCTTCCGGCGTGGATTACACAGAGGCGGGCGTCAATCAGCATCTGCGCGGCCGACCCTGGGCCAAGTGGCTTCCCATAATGCCGCTTCCCGGAAGTTCCGGCTTCCTAAGGGGCACGGTGGATTCGGCTCTGTTGCTCTCTATTCGTCACCGAGAGGAAGACGGAGCCGGCCGCCTAGCCCAAAGGCCCATTAGGGGATGCAGTTATGGGCGCTGTCACCGTGGGTAAGTTCTGCCTCCACTGACTCGCGATCACCACTCTTCTGAGCTCCTGCGCTCGTAGACCATGAATTTTTCCGCCCCAACCGCGTTCTCCCTGGAAGGGCCCCATTTAAGCGTGTTACTCTAACCTTTCCCGTGCTATTCTCATTGGCTTGATGTCCTGGCAGTCCCAGAAGCTGGCCAATGAATTCCAGGTGTTGGCGTCCTTCTCGACCCCGGACCCCAGGATTCCCCGGTGGGTGCGCAGCAGTTGCAAAGGGTGGGATGAGATGGGAAGGAGGCGTGGTGGCCTCTGGGAATGTAGGTGGGCGGCTGGCTAGCTACCGGGAGCGCCCTATGAGTAGGGTGGGTTTGTAGCTGCGTCCTTGTGCTTAGTAAGAATAGGATCTGTCTCCAAACCAGATGCGTACTCCCAGGCAGGACTAGTTTAGGCAGAACTTGAAAGCCACGTTTCAGAAAGATCTGACAGGATTTTCCACACACATTTGTAATGGAAGCGAGTAGGCAGGGGAAGACTGGGAGGGCAGAAGAAGGGAATTGGATCAATATGAGATGTGGTAGAGCTAGTGCTGATTTAAAATCTTCATGTAAAGAGTAAGTTGACTAATTTACTAATTCTTATCCTGAGACTCAACTGAAAACATCTAGTAGCTTTATTGTTGTTTTATAGCTGATGATACAGTACTTATTTTTCATGACTCTTTAGTTGCCTTTATAGTTGTCAAAACTTTACTGGACCTCTTTAGTGACCTCCTGTGTCCTTTACCTGCAGCAATTAGGATTCGCCTTTCAAGTGTTCCTTTGGAGTGTGAGCTGCTGCAACCAGATTTACTAGTGCTGTCTTCACTACTGCAGACTTCTGACTTCTTCGTTCTTCTTCCTTTTCTTCTTCACCAGAACTTGTTCGCTCCATTCTTTTGTACCTACCTTTTGCACATTGTAACCATCCTTTATGCCTCAGGTACTCGTTTTTTCCATTTTAACAAAAAGAAGTATTTCACGAGGAACTGCTGTATACTAGCACTGGTGGTAGATGCTACAGGCAACTCAGAAATAATGCCTAGAACCGTTTTTTCCTACAATTTCTTATTGCTGAGAGAAAAATGACATGTTCAGGTTAAAGATTTAAGAAACAGCCCAAGATAAGTATCAGATAAAGGGACAAGATGAATAATGCACACTAAAATAGTGGGGAAGTTTAGTGGAGAGGTTTATTTAAAGTGTAAGTGTTGACTAAGACTTTATTGAAATGGAAAGCTTGGAGATTTTGGATGGATGGAGAAAACTCAGAAATCAAAGGCACAGAGGTTGGGACAAGGTATTTGGAGTAGAGGCTACTGAAGAGTTGGATTTGATTGGAAGGGAAAGAATGGTGGTCTTAGAACCCAAACATCTGTGTTTTAGTTATATTTCTGTAACCCTGTGTTCTTTCACTATTTTGTTTCTGAGTTTCTTCTTTTAGTGAAATGTCCCCATTTAAAGGGTTGTGAAATCATATGTAAAAATATTTATGAAGTACTTTGAGACTTAGAAGATCAAAGGCACCATGTAGTTATTACTTCAGGTAGTTTTTTTTTTTTTTTTTTTTTTTTTGGTGAAAGAGTAATGAGAGTCAGTATTGCCAAAGCATTTGGGCCAAACTATGAAGGACTGTGATGGTAAAGTTGAGGAATATGGACTTGGAAATTATTAAAGGCTTTCAGTGAAGAGAGTGATGTGATTAAAAATGGCATTATTGGAAAACGAATCTGGTACTGGAATGCAGCACAGATTAGAGGGAGTTGGATTGGAGGCCAGAACTTGGGTACTATTTTTTTCTAAGATCTACAATTAAATGTTTATCTTTAAGGTAAGGAAAAGTACATAAAATATTCATCCTTTGTATGATCCTCGTATACTATTGTGTTCCTTTGTTCATTTACTTATTTTCTAAGCATTTTAAGTTATACTTGGAAAAGATAATTATCAATTGTACTTTCAGTTTTTATAGAAATCTCTTTGAATGACCTTCAGTTACACTAAGGCACCAAAAGCCAAAAAGGGGAATATTTCTAAGACACTAAGCCAGTTAGAGCACCTGCTTTGCATGTATTAGACTCTGGGTTTTCGCACGCGCACACACACACAGTAACAGTGTTTTCTCCAGGCCCTAATTTGCCCTAATCTCCACTTACACAATCAGAATTTAATGAACATTTCAGGTACAATACCTTATAATCATTTAAGGATTTGTCACTAACAAATTATTTTAATGCACAAAAAAATGGCTTTTCAAAATTATTAATATTTTTAAAGTTAGATATGTAGTTTTTCAGCATTTTTCCTGTTTTCTAATTTTGAATTGTTGATTAAAATAGTGAAATTTGATCTACAGTCATATTTGTATTCCAAAGTGATTTTGGCAATACTGTAGTAATGTAAATAGTTGATAATGAAGTTGTAATCAATTTTTTGTTAGCTGATACTATTGGAAATTCTGGTGAAGAAAAATGCATCACTTTTTATATGCAGGTTTGAAATTATTTTGTAAAATTTCTAACTATTTAGGAAGTTGCTTTCAGAATTATTTTTTAAGGAAATTTTTATATTTTTGCTGTACCAAGGATTGAACCGAGGACCTCCTGCATGCTAGGCAAGTGTTCTACCACTGAGCTCCATCCCAAACCCTTTTTATTTCTGAGATATGGTCTCACTTAGTAGGCTGCCCTTGAACTGTGATCCTCTTGTCTAAGCCTCCTGAGTGGTTGGGATTACAAGTGTGCACTATCATGCCCAGCTCAGAGTTTTTAATTGATGTGGTGAGGAGTTGAATTTCTCTTAGTGTCAAGTGTTGAGACTTTTCAAGATCTGTGTATGAAGACTGAGGCTCTCCCCTGATATTTAGATTTTTTGAAAGCCTCTTGCCTTTCTTTGCTAAGAATCATTTTCCCAAGGTATGAGGACAGGGAAGTACTATCCCAACTACCTCAAAGTTCTTATTAAAAATTAGATGATTAAAAAAAATGCAATTAAAAAATTAGATGATATATGTCAGTAGTCTTTGTAAATTATAAAATGTGATAGACATGCAAGACATTATATATGGCTTAGCTGTATTTCCTTTTCCTAGAGCAATATAAAACATTTTTTTTCTTGGTTAATCTAACTTTATCTTGTTTTCTAGATTGTTATTTTGTGTCAGTAAATAATCCATAAAGTGCCAGCATGGGAAAGAAACGGACAAAGGGAAAAACTGTTCCAACTGATGATTCCTCTGAATCTTCAGGTATATTGCACTAATTGAATCTTTAACATTTATATTCCTAAAAGGATATTTGTTTTCCTAAAAAGATTTTAACATATAAAAATAGGATCAAAATGTATATTATTGTTATGTAATCTGCATTTTAATGTTTACATTTATATGTAATTTACTAGTCTTCTATGGCATTTTAGTAGTGTATAATTCCATTGATGTAAAGGGTCACAAGTGCATATTTCATTAACTTAGCTAATTCTCTACTGTTACAGACTTAGGTAAATTTTCACTTTTTAGTTTTAAGAATGGAATAATAATGAACATCTTTGTTGTTAAATATCTGTGCACATCCAATTATTTTCTTAATATAGATCCTAGAAGTAGAACTGTTTTGAATCAAAGGGTATAATGATTTTCAAGGCTCTTTTGATTGGGTTGCTAAATTGCTATTCAGAAATGTTTTACTAATTTATAGGCCCCCTAGCAGCATAATCAAGTGCCCATTTACTTGAACCTTCACCAGTGTTGGTTATGATTATTTGTAAAAATCTTTGCTGATTTGATAGTTCAAAAGGGTAGCTTTTTTTTTTTTTTTTAATTTGACTATTGGAATTCAGCAGCTGTCTTGCATATCTCATTTGTTTTTACTTTTCTCTTGGTGCACATTCGTTGAGCATAAAGCCAGTTGTGCTACTTAAATAATTTCTAAAACTTCAGTGTTCCTGAAACAATGAAAACCGTTTAGAAGGCTTGTAAAGCCCTTTATTCACTTGACCCCAGTATAGTTTTTAGTTTCAGGGTCCAGTTGCTTATTTTTGTACCATCTGAGACCCTGCCATTCAGGGAGACAGCATGAACATTTGCAGGTTCTTATTCATAGGATTGTTCTCAGATTGCCCTTTACTCCCTGAGGTCGTAGTTTGAAGTGTGAACTGTGAAGTCAGAAACTTTCATCCAAGTTCTGGCACAGTCTTTCAGTAGTTATATGACCTTGGATTCTAAATCTTAGTTTTTCATTTGTCATTGAAAATACTAATGTGCTCTTTCTGGGTGATTGTGAGGATTAAGGAAGTATTATATGTAAAACACTTAGCATGTATTATTAACACAACTTATAGGATGTGTTAATCAATATTGGAGATTTTTTTATTACTATTAATATAGTCCAGGAATGTATATGTTATCTCCCTTGTGAAAAATTTGGAGTCTTTAGCTGCCTCTTCTTGTGATGCTATAGCATGTTTTAGAAATTCTTACAGATTAATTTATTTAGCTTCTGCTCCTACCAGAGTATGAGCTATTCAAAAGAGAAGAGGTGTGGCTTGCTTGCTTTTAGGTTGCCTAGTATCTAGTGTAGTGCCTGGCCTGAAGTAGGTGTAGTGTTGACTGAATGAGGGACTTTCTCTCCAACTTCTTTAATATAAAGAAAACACATAAAGGACCTTCCTTTAAAGAAAATAGATAAATTGAAGTGAATTTTTAGGGATGGTAGTGATTATATTTAGAACTTTAAAAATGAAAATTTCAAATTTGAATAAGATCTCTTTCTTGGATGCTTAGTGGTAGAATACTTGCCTAGGCACGAGACCCTAAGTTCACTTCCCAGTATGACCACCAAAAAGAAAAAAGGAAAAAAAAGAAAAAGCCACATAATTATCATAGTAGCCAAATATCAAGCAAGATTTTAGGGTATTTGATTGTTTATAGGGTTAATTCAGTTTTGAAGTTTGAATGAAAAATTAAGTTTTGACATTAATAAAAATCTATTTTTGGCCTCATTTTTTAATTATTTGTTTTAATAGAACCTATATGTAGACACATTAGAAAAGGATTGGAACAAGGTAATTTGAAAAAGGCTTTAGTCAATGTGGAATGGAATATTTGTCAAGACTGTAAGACGGACAACAAAGTAAAAGATAAATCTGAAGAAGAAACAGAAGAAAATCCTTCAGTTTGGCTATGTCTTAAATGTGGCCATCAGGTAATGCTTAGATTTTATTAATTTGGGATTTTAGAAAACTCTTCAAACTTGTTTTAGAAGGTGTCATCTAAAAGTACTGTTATGGCTAACTAGGACAGATGCATACTTTCAGGGAAATGATTTTGAGAGTAAGATTTGTATGTTGGCAGTTTACTGGTGAGTATTCTCAAGTATCACACTATTAAAAGAGTTAGGAAGCAGAAATAAGCAGAGGGAAAAGTTAAATTAAGCTGTTGCAACAGGTGCTCAGCTGATTATATAGTGAACTCTGGCCTTTGAGCAATATCCTAAATTAAGGCAAAGAGCCTTTATACCCATACAGAGACCTTCATTACTGGTGGCTTGTCCCTAGAGAGTATCATGGGCAGGTTCACTCCCTTTTTTTGAGGATAATCCTGGGGTTAGATGGACTTTGCTGTGAGTTCTCATCAGGCCACATTCCAGGCAGCTGGGGAAATGAATACTTTGGTCTTGAAGGTGTGTATGTGACTGCCTGGTGCATGACTGTCTGTTACACCTGCTCACATCTGTTGTTGTGGTACTAAACATCTGGCTACCAGTCAGTCCTTAGTGATGGCAGGTTATGTGTATAGGAATTTGGACTACTAGGCAGACTTGTCAGGAAGGTAAAGATGGGGCAGAGAGCCAATTTGCTTTTCCATATTGTATAAGTTGAAAAATTTCATTGAAATAGTTACTGATTCACATATAATCCTAAGAAATAATAGATATTGTTAAGCATTTTGCCAGTTTCTCCCACAGATAAATTTTATAAAACTACTGTGTTTTTAGCTGATAGTTGATATGTAAATAGGAGATTGTGGGAATTAACATTGGAAAAATAGGTTGGGATCAGAGGGTATCAGTTCCTTAGGAGTTTAAGAGAGCAATTTGTAATCTTTGAATTGTTTATGAACAGAGCTTTGTTTTAGGAACATTGAACTGAAAAAATTAAGCATGTTATGAGGGATACTAAAGTGAAGAGAATATTTGGGAGACTCTTAAGGGTCCAAAGCAGATATGACGATTTGTGTTAGTGTGGTTTATTTGTGACAGGAAAGACAAATTAGAGAGGAAGAGTACTTTTAATGCATGGTTTTCTAGATACCATCTTCCGTAAATGTCCTAAGTTGCTTATGGATATTTAATTTTTAACAAAATCCAGATTTTCTAGAGCTTAACATTTTATTTTCAAAATTGTAAAAAAGTTCTTGAGACACTTCTGTATTCATGATCAATTATGAATTCTTCTCTTTTCATGAATTTTTATAACTTTGAGGTTTATGATTTTGCTTCTCTAGGGCTGTGGCAGAAATTCTCAGGAGCAGCATGCTTTGAAGCACTATATGATACCAAGATCAGAGCCACACTGTCTGGTTCTCAGTTTGGACAACTGGAGTGTGTGGTGAGTGTTAGTTCCTATGCCTATTATGTTAAATACTGGAAAATGAAATTGTTTGAAGATGTTTAAGGAGCATGAAAGGTAAACTTCTTGCAGTGTTTACCATCACAGAAGGCTAGAGAAGGTGATGTGGTGTTATGAGATGCTTTTGCAACTTTTGTATACACATAAAATTGCAGCATATAGAAAATATAGAAATCTTTGTTCTTTTGATTTCTTGCTTATGAGATTTTTTTTTTTTTAAAGAGAGAGAGAGAGAGAGAGAGAATTTTAATATTTATTTTTTAGTTCTCGGTGGACACAACACCTTTGTTTGTATGTGGTGCTGAGGATCAAACCTGGGCCGCACACATGCCAGGCGAGCGCACTACTGCTTGAGCCACATCCCCAGCCCCTTGCTTATGAGATTATAAAATATACGGTGGGTTGTCTTTAGTTTAAAGGTTACAATGCTAAGAACACATTTCAGATAAATGAGAATAAAGTAAAAGTTTGACCATGAGTTGTATGAAAATAAATGTCAGACTGGCATGTATTTTTCTGTGTTTTTACATCATTAAAACAGATTTTTACTTAAACTATTTTCACAACGCAGAGTACTGACCACTATACGATCACGGCCAAAACTATTTTCAAAACAGTGTTCAGTGAGCATCATTTGTTAATTGTAAAATTTATTTTGTTGGTGTAGGTCTGTAGTTTAAATTATGTGTATAAATTAAATTATGTGGGGCTAGGGATGTGGCTTAGTTGTAGAGTGCTTGCCTAACACGTATAAGGCACTGGATTCTATCTTCTGCACCACATAAAAATAAATAAAATAGGGCTGGGATTGTGGCTCAGTGATTGATCAACTTGCCTCTTAAATGTGAGGCACTGGGTTTGATCCCAGCAGCAAATAAAATAAATAAGTAAATAAATAAATATTGTGTCCATCTACAATCAAAACTATAAATAAACACATAAATACTTAAATAAATACATAAATAAAACAAAGGCATTGTCCAACTACAAGTAAAGAATATTAAAAAAAATAATAAAAGAGCATGCTACAGGGACACTGCTACATCGATGTTCATAGCAGCACAATTCACAATAGCAAGACTGTGGAACCAACC